AAAAGTGAACAATTGCAAAAAGAGGAAAGCCATCCTTAGGGCGAGACAGAAACGGGCTACAGGAGGAGCTCATTCACAGACACTGAAAACAGTGAGATTGGGATTTGATTGTTATGTAAAGTAGGTGCATTTTCAGATTCAGTAGCACTTCTTCGTTTCACTCAAACTGGGCTAGGAAGCTGCATCGCCAACAAAAATGTATTTATGGTCAATGATCATAAGAAATGCCTGACAGAAAACTTTTTTATGAGCACAATGTTGGGGTTGGATTACACAGTTTATTGATTCCACAAAGTGTGGTGGCAGCGTAACGGAAAGAAAAAAACAAAAACTGTTCAGGGTTTAATGTTAAATGTAACAGAGCCAAATATGGAAGGAAACAGAGAACAGATTCCAAGTTGTCCAATTGATCAGAATCACACGTTTCCTTTTTTTCCTGCTCTACTTCTTTCCTATTCTAACTTCAATCCTATTCTAACTTTAATCATGCCACTAGTGTTAAAAGATCTTATAAATATCCATCACAGGAGCCAAATGAAAGGATCTCTTCAGTCTTTTCATTAATCTTTTCTTGCAAGATATATCGACAGTAGTATAGTCGTCATAGTTGTAGTGTCATGGCTTATTGGCACATTGGACTATAACAGAAACTATTGAATTTGCTAATTTCGGTCATGCTTTAGTTGTCGGGCCAATAACCTCATGCGACTCCAGAATACTTTGGTATACAGAGGAGTTCATGGCCGACTTAATGACTGCAAGGTGCCCAGGTAAAACAAGCCCAAATCATCACCCCTCCACCACCGTGCATGACAGATGGTATGAGGGGTTCGTGCTGATATGCTGTGTTTGTTTCTTGCCAAATGTGCATCATGGCCAAACATCTCCACCTTGGTCTGGTTTGTCCAAAAGACATCGGAGGTGTGATGTTAGTACGATCTGGGTTCTTGCTGCCTCTTACAGCAAGAATGTCCTGTGTTCAAAGCCACTGGCTGGTTGGTCTCTCTGTTCCTGCAGGGGTTCCTTCCAGGTTCTTTGCCTCCCCCCCACAGTCCAAAGACATGCATGGCTGGCAAATTGGTGATTCTAAACTGGCCCTAGGACGGATGCTAATTTAGGCATGTAGGGTCTGAGATGTAGCTCCAGGGTTGGTTTTCTTTTTTTTTTTTTTGCCATTTTCTGCCACTGAACTTGGGTTAAACTTACTGTGATATCTACTTCTGGGATATGCGACAGATCAGCAAACCTTTCAGAACTTCTGGCTTTATAGATGTGATGACACTTGTTGATGATCAGTTAAGTACATCTGAGTACACTTCCTCACAGGACTGCAGAGAGTCTTTAACATGACTGTACATAGTGTAGGATCAGAAATGTTTGTCTTTGAGTGGATTTTGGCTTTGCTAGCATGATGAAAACTAAATAAGAAGTAGATTAAAAGAACTAGTTGAATAGAAACCAGCAAAGTTACGTTGCAAACCTTTATTCTGTCTCCTAGCACAGAAATCCCTCAGTGTCGTTTACACCTGTTTAGATAACGGTATCTCCGAGGAATCTCAGGGACATTTGTTGGCAGTTTGTGATTGTATTTTTGGAGGTTGCATCCCAGCTTACATCTGTATTTGCATTTTCTTTGTTTTGGTCAGGAATTGATTTTAAGATGAAAACACTGGAGGTAGATGGAACCAAGGTGCGAGTACAGATATGGTAAGTGACATTTTTCTTTCATTGCATTCACACTTGCTGCCATGGGTGATTCCCTTTTGCTGATATGTGTTTGGTCCTCCATACAGGGACACAGCTGGTCAGGAGCGCTATCAGACCATCACCAAACAGTACTACAGGAGGGCGCAAGTATGAGCAGCCAAGAGTAAACTTGGATTTCTGTAACGCAGCTTTGATTCCTTAGTCCTCTTTCCACTTTTTATGCAGGGTGTCATCTTTGTCTACGACGTCACAGACAAGCTGTCCTTTAAGCACATAGCCAAGTGGGTCAGTGATGTGGATGAAGTAAGGCAATAAGCACTCTGTTCGCTGCCCTTCGCAGCTGTCCAGTATTTGTGTTCTGGCTGACTGAACTTGAGCTGCTTGCTAAACAATCAGTGGCTTAGAGTGACTGACAGGATGATGAAGTCCACTATCCCTGTGCTTGACTTCAGTTTTTGTTGTTTTCTTCTAGTATACTACCCAAAAAATGGAGACCATATTGGTAGGAAACAAATGTGATGATTCACTCAGGAGGGAAGTGTCAAAGAACCAAGGAACCAAGGTTTGATTGAGCCTTATTTTCCGCTGTGCTTTAATTAGTATATTATTGATTTTAATTTGGAGATTGTGTTTTAAGTACTCAACATCATAATATACATTAGTCCCATATTGTAAGTCAGTCTCCTGGTGGCCTCCAGTTTCTTCCATTTAACCTCCTTAAACTTGATGATGATTACTGTAATACCTGCGCTGGAAAGCTTTGTGTGTTTCATAAATGTCACTTAAGCTGCCAGATCAGCTCGAAGCACAGTCTACACAAACAATCCACACACTGCATACAAATTCAACCTGTCTGTCGGGCAACTTGGCAGCTCGATTCGAGAAGTGTGCGCACAAATATCTCTGTGCCGGCAGGCTCTTAGTTGTTTCTACAGCCTCAGGCCTTTTTACCACAAAGACACGGTGAAGACTTGAAAACACTCCCAAATAAAATCCGGACGGTTGTACAGATCATGTGTGTGATGGGTAGTTGTTCATGTTGTAGAAACACCAATATGAACTCTTTCTGACCCTGTTGTCATTCATCAGAATGAACGTTCCTCCGAGCTCTTCACACAGACCAGGACCATCTAGATACTAAATACTACAAAATATTCAGTTATACTAGACTCAGTCGCTGCTCTCATGTTGGGAATAATGTTGACTTTATTTTTGAGGTTTTAAAAAAACACTTTTGCATATTTGAGAAGAACTTTTATTGAGAAAATATGCAATATGGTTCTGGCATAACTTATTTCAGGGAGAAAAGGCTTTTAGAGGCACTACTATCAAAGTCGGCTTCCAAACACTAATGGCTGATACCAGCATGTCTCTTAAAATAGAATACTGTTCATCTGGTTAGGCTGAGACAGACAAACGCTTCCTCCCACGTTTAAAACATTTAGTGAAATCATATCGCTAAATAAGAAAACTTTTTATAAACTTCTTACTGCATGTTATAATATTAACACAGCACACAGCAAAGCCTGAAGGATACACCTACATCCATGCAAGTGCATAATATGTATAAATCTTCACACTGTTGACACCCTGTGCTGTATTATTGTGCCAGAGTATCGCCTTTGCATTTAATTGATTTTTTTAAATTATATTTAAATAGTTTTGGAGAAAAAAGGTATAAAATAGTTTTATTATTTCTAAAAATATGCGCTTCAATTGTCTGTAGTTAGCAGGATCCTATGGGATGGAGTTCTTTGAAACCAGTGCCTCCAAGAATATCAACATCAGTGAGGTAGTGCATTTTCTTGGCAACATTTTTTTCTGGGTAATTCCCCGCCGCATTCTTTTGTTTTCTTTCTTCCTTCTTCCTCCAGTCATTCGAACGTCTGACAGAACTCGTGCTACAGGCTCACAAGAGGGACGTGGACAACCTGTTGGGATCTCTGGACAGCTATCTGGATAAGGCAGGTCTGGAGGAAGTCAAAGAGAGCACAGTCCCTCACCTTCCTCAGAGGAGCTGCGCCTGTTAGAAACAAGATGGCCATCATGGTGCCACAGCTTATAGTTGAAGGCGCTCTGACTTGATTCGGTCCCCCTCTGCCCTCTTTGTGGATGCTGTGACTTGTTGGCCCAGGGGTTTAATGAATGGGTTTCACTTTTTGTAAGTTTTTTTTTTTATCACACTGTGTTAAATGCATTTAGAAGCAGCTACCAGCAGAGGGCCAATTTTGTTCCATGATCGCTGAATCTTAAAGAGAGAACATGGTTTTGTGTAATAAAACTATCCATACCCACAATTTCCTCCTTTAAAATACAGGTTTGCACCGAGCAGCTGCTTCGTCACTTGTTCATCACATTTTGTTAATATATTTTTTAAAATTGAATAATTTGGTTGGTGCTGTAGGTGAATTGTGGATTCAAATCAACAATCGTTTATTTGAGGAGGGCGGAGGAAGAGGATGGAGGCAATGACGAAGAAGCCGGAGGACAGAGCTGAATTATTTACACCTCGAAATTCAAACCCAGCAGGGGTGGAGTTATTTACATAATTCACTATCCTCCTTTGACGGAGATTCTGTCGTGCCATGTTCGAAGACCTTGAATGCTTGCTCATGCATTATCATCACGAATGTTTGCGTTACAAATGTGATTGGCATTGTGTGCTAAAGGAGTGTTACCGCTCTTTGAAGTAATGTACTCAGGCTCTGCCAAGTTGCCACTTGTATGTAATTTTTTTGAAATGATATGTGCAGGTTGTTACAAAAAAAATAACAAAACCACTGTACGGGTTAATAAATGAAAGTTTTCATATTAAAGCTAATGAGATGTGTCGGGACCTTGCTGAGTCATTACATTAGAATGCAAGGAGTGAAGTCCTGAAAGAGTTCAGACAGATTCATTCATTTTTAATCACCCTCCGTGAAAGACGGGGGATCATGTTCAATTTTTGATGACAGAGAAAACTGATACATGTTACAGAGATGCTGTAAAGTAGGAAGTACGTGCAAGTTTTATCCCTAAAACACTCTTTGAGAATATAATTATATTCACTTCAAGAAAGTCAGTTTACTTGATAAAACTTTAAAAATCCTGATAAGAAGACAATTAGTTACATTAATCTATTTCGGACTTCTTCAGAGTATAGGATGGCAGATGGAGATCACTTTCCCGCAGGGCCATTTGATCCTTGTCAAAGGCAACTTTCTGCCCTAAATGAATCAGGTGACCAAGCGCTTGGATACAGGCAGCTCGAGATCCCCTCTGCCTCCGCTGTGGCAGAACCAGAGGACGAGATGACGTTCATCGCGAAGACTTTCTACGACCTGAGGGCCACCACGCTGGAGGGAGACTCTGTGGACTTCAACGTCTTCAGAGGACGGGTGGTCCTCATAGAGAATGTGGCCTCGCTCTGAGGAACCACCACCCGGGACTTCAGCGAGCTCAACCAGCTGCAGAGCAAGTACCCCCATCGGCTGGTGGTCCTGGGTTTTCCTTGCAATCAGTTTGGCTATCAGGTGAGTTCAGCAGCAGAGTTTGAAGTCACTTAAAAACCTCTAAAATGTATTACTTAATGTACCAGTTCTGTGTTATTGTTGTTGTCACAGACATTTTCCTTTTCCCAATCCTACCTGGGTCTGGTTTGAGTTAAAGTCTGACTTGTATTATTGGCATTAGTGTATTTCCTCTTTCCTAAAGCAAGTTACAGGAATTGCATCATTTAATAGTGTGCAAACTGTATCTGGTACTGATGGTTTGATACTGAAGTAGGATTTTAATCATCTTCGCTATCGTAGTGAAACCAATGAATGCTTGTGCTCTGCAGGAGAACTGCACCAATGGTGAAATCCTGAATTCACTGCAGCACGTGCGTCCAGGCGGAGGCTTCAAGCCCATCTTTACCATCTTCGAGAAGTGTGACGTCAATGGAACAAATACCCACCCAGTTTTTGCCTATCTGAAAGACAAACTCCCCTATCCCGATGACGACCCAAATTCTCTCATTCAGGACCCCAAATTTCTGGTTTGGAGCCCCATCAGCAGGACGGATATCTCCTGGAACTTTGAGAAATTCCTCATTGGGCCAGAGGGAGAACCCTTTAAGCGATACAGCAAAAAATTCCCCACCATTGACATAGAGCCTGACATTCAAAGACTGCTAAGATTAACTAAGACCTAAGAATAGCCTCCATCTCTTAATGACTTCTCATCCATAACTCTCAAAGCTGTCATGCTGTCCTCCACACCGTTGAGTCTTATTAAATGAGGGTGATGTTCTAAAACAGAATAAGGGAATATCATCGGAGGCCTTATAAGTGCTTAACAGTTGTGGATGAATGAACAGTGTAGTTAAAAGTTTACACATATGTACATTATGCATGAGGCAAATGATCACTTTGATGTTTTTTGTTTTGTTTTTTTTATCACATCCTTTTGTTTCTTGTTCTTTTCCTGTTCGTCCAGCAGATGGTGCTGCTGATTTAATCCTAAACTTCTCTCGTGAATTAACATTCATCACACACACATAATGTTTGCACTGGAATAAAACCTTCAAACCAAATTCGTCTCCCACTGAGGTGTGATTTTTAGTTGGACCATATATAAACATAAAGATGCGCTCCACTGATGTAAGCACGACCAAAATAGAGCTGGAGTAGGCATAATAATGAAGCTTTAAAGACAGTGGGGAGGATGTGGAATTATTTGAAACAGCCTTTCAAAAAATTCACAGCGCAATCTTCTAATTATGCTTCCTCTTGCCCGATGAATCCCTTTTTAAAATTATCTCAGAGCCTCCCACACTAATTTTCCAGACCTACATTTTTAAAGTAAAAACATGCTGAAACCATGCAGCTACACGAATGCTTTATCACTACAGTGACACCTTAAGACAAACCCAAAGTCATCCATGTAGGGTAAACGGTGACCTCGTTAGCTGTGTTATGACCTGCCATGCAGCTTTAGCTTTTTATGCAAAGTCTGCACTGTTTGCAAGGCCTGCTTTGCAGGTTCGCGCAGGGCTTTGTGCACATATGCTGACATCTACGTCAGCACAACAGGCCACACGGCGACCTCATGGCAGGTGGGTACATTTAGAAACACTAAAGCAGGGCCGGCCCGTGGCATAGGCCGTATAGGCAAATGCTAAGGGCGCCGTCCATCAGGGGGCGCCACGCCAGTGCCACAAATGTTGAAAAAAAAAAAGTTGGTACTATTATTTCTAAATACAAAAAATAATCCCACGTTAATTAAAATGCAAAGTAAAGCTTATTTAATAGAAATATTATTTGTTACAACATTACACTACACTGCTGATGTAGGGGGGCGCCACCTAAAATCTTGCCTAGGGCCGTTTCTGCACTAAAGTGATACTTTTCACGGGTTTTACTTCCACTTATAGTGGCTGTGGTTATTGTAGTAATACTTAGTCTCGTTGCATATTATATTTACATATCCATGCTGTCGTGATGCGCCAGGGCATTTGATTTCCCTCAGTGTGACTGCAAGGAAAAGCTTCACGCCCGTTGGGGAGAAGCAAGAGGAGCAGCGCAAGGGGCCTCTCCTTAAACCCTCTACACTGCTCCCATCTACTCACAGCTTGCAGAAAAATATCACCAAAGATCAGTTATTTTCAACAGGTGACTCACTCTCCCTCCATCCATCCATCAATTCGCTTCCGACTCTAAAAGTTCGTTTAAAGACAGCTTTAGTAAAAGCTCTGAACACACTAAGAAAAATATGGACTCCTATAGCTTTCCAATTCAATGAAATGCTTTTAAAATTGCACACTGACCCTGCAACAGTGGGTCGCAATACACAGTTTGCAACGTGGATGCGTCATAAACTCAAAAGGGCTTTTTGTTTAACCAATCAGATTTGACTGATGATTTGAAACAATTGAAACTGAAGTCGATTTAGATAATGGTTCAAAGGTCAAACCTAATGGCCTTAACTGTCTGTTTCACATTAAACTCCGCAGCAGTAAACATGCACGAGCGGTGTGACTGGAGCGAGCTTAAAGAGCTTTGGGCTAAAACATGACAAGTTTCATCTGCTATTGAATAAACTGCGTGCTTTTTAACCTGGGGTCACTTGAAGTAGAGTGAGACTTCTTCGTTTCCCCTCTGACCATCCACTCACTACAGGTGAGCACTGTTGCCACGGCAACGTTTGCTTTTCCCCCCGCTAAGCCTTCTCGCGAGACTCCGGGGCAGAAAAGAGAGGGAGAGGGAAAGAGAGGGAGAGAGAGGGGAGGCTGCCTGAATGATCTCATCCCTCCAGCAGCTGCATACCGCAGCGAGGCAAAGCCGTAACTTTCTATCAAACTTCCAAGTTGCCGTTCAGAGGAAGACGTCGGGCCGTCCTCGGTCTGAACCGGAGCCAGCACGTTTTTTTTGTGTGTCCCCCCCCCGCGACGGCAGCCAACAGAGCTGCTGCGTAGTTTGTGTCTCGGACTTGGAGCACCTTGTTACGAGTTGAAACAAAAGGGGGGAGAGGAAAGAAAAGCAAGACTGCTTCGTGTTGTGTGACAACCACTATGAGAAAAGGTGAGTGGCGTTACGAAGTCATGCGCGGGGGTGCCTGCACCCAACATCTGTGTGAGGAGGACAAAGCACATCCTCGTGCCGTGTGAAGGTGCAGGGGGAAAGCCAGTGCGCAGTGTTATCATTGTTATCAGAACTAATGGGGCTGGCGTGGTGAGGCTATCGGGGTGGCTGTCAAAACATATCCGCTGCGTCGCCGTGTATGTCAAGGGCATTGTTCTCTGCGATTCACAGGTGGCATCGTTCAAGCCACATACTGGAGGATATACGTCTGTCACCACCCGGAAAAAAAATTCCGAGGTGGCGTATCCCGCGTTGTTGCCACACGAGAAGGCTTGTCACGCACCAGGTGATTGCCACATCTGTCTTGAGAGATTTGTTTACAGCCTGCCCTGGCTCAGCATCTGCTTGTATAGATTAGGCCACCAGGGCTCTCTGCAAGTCATGCCCCCCTCCCTCCACGCTGAGTATCCAGTGCCATTCTTGATGAGATTATCAGTTTATTTCTGCCTGATGTGGATGTGTGGAGTGCACTCCAGCCTCTGTGTCCAACTGTGCTCACATAGGCTGTTTTGGAATACAGAGGGCATGCACACCAGTGCAGTGGTGGCAGCAGCGCGTGTGAACAGGAAAGATCTGGTAATGAAGGGCTGGGAGTTTTGTTTTGACAGAAACAAACAGACCTTAACCTTTCAGAGTTTACTTTCACAGGGCAGCGTTGTGTCCAGAGGGGGCCATGTTTTACAAAACATCAACTACAGTGAAACGGTTACAAGTAAGCAGGTAGGGAATTAAATACAATAGAGGGGTGGCTGCTCATAACTGAATCATGGTGTGTGAGTGTGTGTTACAGAAGCACTGTTTATTGCAGTTGGACAACTTGAGTCAGGTGAAAAAGGGGAAACTTTGTAGTTTGGTTTTGGGCAAGGATCTGGGATTTTTAGCTTTCTTGATAAGCTTAGCTGACCCAGTGTGGCTGGCATGACTGATCATACAGCTTCACTTCCACTTTTACTGCTTAGTTACTCTCAGTTTTGTCCCTTTTTTGCCTTCTGCAAATACATTGGATTGCTTCTTGCTTTTTTCTATTGTTATTTTTATTATAGATGATGAAAAAGATCTTGTTGGATGGGGAAAAAATACTTGCTCTGTTTTATTTCTTTCACTGTGTGGGCCTGTAACGGTTCATTTGGGGATGAGAGGCTAGTTCAGTTGATAAGATCTGCCCAAAGATTTGGATGAGACTACTTTCAGAATAGATAACTCTGCTTGTTTAGCAGAGTCTCTGCTTCTCACGTTCCTTATCAGCATACGTAGTCCTCCCCTTGTTTTATTACTGGAGGACAGTGTTGCTATTTTCACTTTGTGTTGCATCTCTCGCACAACAATTGTTGGTGTTCTTCATTCGTAGTAGGGTCTTTTCTATAACGTGCCCGCACGTTCACACAAGGATGCTTCCTGTTGCTAAGTTGAGCTTATGTTATCATTGTCTCCTGTGCATTGGCTCGGAGGGAATAGTTTGAGCAAAGATAAAAGGGAACAACAAGAGAAGCATTGTGCTGATTTATAATTTGTTACTCTGGAATGTATGCGCTGCAGATATGCTAAGTGGTCTTCATAACATGCTTAAATTAACTGTTTATATTATACAAAGAAAGATGAGGTTAGTATTATTATTATTTTTTCATTAATGCTCAGGTTCAAAGTGCATCAGCGCTCTTAAAGTCGATACTGACTGAACTCTTTTCATTGTGGTGTGGTGACTCTTACCGTCACAAAGTCATTTCTGAGACTGTGACGCCTGCGCACACACCTCTCACTGGACAGCAAAATAAACAGACCTTGAGATGCATCCCTGGATAAAAAGTGGTGTACCAATGTGGTCAATGTCAGTTACAAGGCAGATTTTTTCCCCTCCTACATGAGTCACTTTTTCCTGGATTTGACAGAAGCTTTTGTAACAGATTTGACAAAAGAAAAAAGAAAAGACAGGGGAAGCTTCCTCAGTTTTTACGAGTGAAGTGTCTGACTGGTATTAGTCAGCTCATAGTCAGAAGTCAAATGACCTGATGGTAACATGGCCTCTGATTCTTCAGAGTGAGGGTCTTTTTTTCTTTCTTTTTTGCTGGTGACTGAGAGGTTGATGAGTTTGACTTTAATGAGGTGTGACTGTGGGTCTGAATTTCCTGCTTGCTAAACTGTTGGAATGCTCTGTCTTTGTCTGGGTGGGACGGTCCACTTTATACCACCCGGCGGAGGAAAGCAGAGGGCTCGGAAGCCACAATAGTGATGATGTAATCCCCTTTCAGAGCTCTGTCACAGAGTAAATGGGTCCAGACAAAGAGGAAATCACTCCCTTCTCCATCCCACCTGACGCAAAGTTTCTGACCTCGCAAAAATGTGCAGCGGTTTGGACGCACTGTAATTATTGGTGTGGGAGATTGCTGACCCTGGGAGGCTGAACGGTGGGACAGGTGGAAGGTGTTGCAAGCTGGCTGGGCTCTGACCTTGACTGAAGGGTTTGGTCTCCGTTTGGTGGTCTGTCACAATATACACTGCAGTCATAAACTAAAGAGACCTCTCTGGTTTCTGTCATCCTGCTTCCAACTCTCAAACCCAAACCAAAACCCACAGT